TGTGACAGTAAATTCTACCTCTGAATGTTTCACATAGCAACTGTTACCAGGACTCAGCATCCAAAGCTGATGTTCCAGCAACTTTCCATCACAGTGCTGCTGCCACTCCAACAGTGCCACACCAGCCTGGTGAGACCTGCTGCCACTCCCAACACTTTCCAATGGGGTTGGGATGCCAGCACAGAAACCCTGCTCAGATTTAGTAAATACAGCCCAGGATTAGAAAGGAACTTGGTGCCTGCATGTGGGAGCTGATGGTGGGATCCCCAATATTGGTCCTATCTCTGTGTTGGTCATGCAGCCCCCCAGACTTCATTACTTTCACCGTCATGTTATATGAAGCACCATAAATAACAAAGATGGGAATGCAGTGGTTAAAATGGATGGATAGGGAAGGATTTTGGCAGGGGTTGTTCTACCTGCACTTCGTCCCAGTGCTGGAGTTGTGGAGTTGTTGTGGCAAAGTGGTGATCCTCACCCTGGCATGGGCAGGGGTTCTCACTGCTCTGAGCACTGGGTTGTGGTGAGTTTGGGGTGTGCCGGGTGCCCACAGGGACCAGGAGCCAAGTGTTCACTGCTGAGGTTTGTTCACATTTCGGTGTTTGCTTGCCTTCCCCATGTGCCATCATGGTTCTGTTCTGTGTTGTGTCCCCTGCCTAGAGGTTGAGCTGGGCTGGTTTAGGTTGGATTTGGCTGTGTGGCAGCACTGTGAGCCTGGCTGGAGGTAGGGAGAGCCGTGGCTCTGCAACCCCGTGGAATGCTGAGCCTGCTCTGGTTAAAACCCCCCCAAGTGCACAGGCACCATGACCAGGGCAAGGCACCAGCACCCCAAGCACCCAAAACCACACAAATTCCCCCAGCAGCACCCAGCAGGCCATGCCTGGTGCCCCCATACCCTGGCACCGGCATCCCTGCCTTGCCATCATCCTGGCTGTGCCACCATCCCTGTGGCTGCCCACTGGGATCTCGAGTCGTGCCATGCCGTGCTGTGCTGGCTGCGGGGCCAGGCAGCAGCGGCTGCTCTGTGTCTCCCCAGGGACAGGCAGCAATTTTCCTGCTCTGAAGAAGCTTGTGAAGGTTTGAGTGAATCTGGGAAGCAAATCTAATTGGCAACCTGGTAATTCCTCGGGGGGACATGTACTTTGGTCATATCTAAGTACATTCCAGCCAGTGTTTAAGACACGCTGAATCCAAACTTGGACAGTCAAATACCAGCAGCTCTAAGCTCCTTATCTATTTCAGGCAGATTAACTCCTTAATCATCTCTTTTGGAAGTTCCCTGCCCCAAATTCCTCTCCCCTCCTCTTCCCCCTCCCCAGTTTTTCAGCAGGAACAAAAGGAACCGATTTTGCGGGGTGCCAAAGGTGGGGACGGCGCCCGCTGTGATTGACAGAGTCAATAACCTGGAGCCGGGAAAAGGCCTTTGGAAATCTGCTTCCCACTTCACCTGCCCCAGTATTTGTCTTCAGGATTTGAAGCTGGAGAATGTATAATTCCAAAATAATTTACCACACAGCATCAAACCTCAATTTATTATTTTCAACCTTCCTTTCTTTTATATATATATATTATTCTTATTTTTCCTTTCCCCCAGGGGAATCTTGCTCAGCATCCCCTAGCAGGTGACCACTCTGCAGCCCCCAGCCCTGCTTGTGGCAGGGGGATGCTCATCCCCTCCCTGGCAGGCAGAGGAGGCCGTGCTGAGCCGTGGGGACACAGCCGGTGCTGGCCACTGTCACTCATGGGAGTGTCAGAGCATTACACTTCATTACCGAGCTGTCTGCTGCCGGCAGGGGATGGCTTAGGGCAGAGCTCGACAGCGGCACAGCCGGGTTTGGCTCTGCTGCATGGACCTGTCTGAGGGCAGATGCTGAAACGTGGCATCTGTGGGGTGCCCATATCCGATGGGTTTTGTTGTGATGGCAGTGGAAAGCTGCTGGTTGCTGGATCACAAGGTTGGCTGCCTCAAAAGTGAAGGCAGGAGTTGCCACAGGAAGGCAAAATGGGGACAGGGTAATGCCCCCTGTACCAGGAATCCCAGTGAGGGGGTCTCAGTGAGACAGGGACTGGGGATCTCTCTGGGATAATTGAATAGCGCTCCTCTAAAACACAGGTGTAAATGTCCCATGTGCCCGACATGGGGGGGACACTGGGACAAAGCCTCATCTCCTCCCGGACAGGAAGAGAGAGTTTGGGATGGGGAGAAGGCATGGGATGGTGCCAGGGTCTGTCCTTTGCTGTCAGCAGCCATCCCACAGCACCTGGGGCCTCCTGGTTTTGGATGTGGCAGAATTTGCTGGAAGTTTTCCTGATAGAAAAACTGGCTGTGACCAGAGAGCCTGGACCAGTGGCACATTCAGAAGAGCTGGGAATGTCCTGGGAATGCCACCTGTCATCCTTCGGGGTCTCCAGTTCCGTTGGGGATGGAGAGACCCACTGAGGAGGAGGTCCAGGATCCTCCAGGAGCTGGGACACGAGCCTGCTCCATTCCAGTGCTCCTGGGCTGGCACTTCCCAGTGTCAACACTGGACCCCAACAGAAGCCCAGACCACTCTATAGTGGGGAAACTGAGGCACAGCTAGAGAGAGGTCCTGGTTCCAACCCAGTGGATTTTTCAGCTGAAAGGTCAGCAGGTGCCAGGGGACCAAGAGCCATCCCTGTCACATTCCCCAGGGAGTGCAGCCTTATGCATCCAACCACATCCATGAGCAACCAGCTCACGAGATGCAGAGCAGATCCAGGACTGGGATCCTTTCCCTCTCCCATACTTGGGAGAGCTTTTATTTGCTTTTATTTTTGTTGCAAGCAGGATGAACCCCCCTGGGGAATCAGCATCCCAGAGGAGGGTGCCAAGGGCATGGCGTCTGCCTTTCCTTGCAGGGATGGAGCTTCTGTCCTGCTTCAAGGGGAAACTGAGGCAGGGGAGACAAACAGGATGTGGGAGAAGAAGGGAGGGTTAATATTAGCGGTCACAGTAATGATTGGAATGGTTAAGTATTATTGGAATTGAAGTGAGTCAGGCCGAGAGCAGGAGGGGAGGGATGAAGGAAGGGAGGAAGGAAGAAGGATCCCAACCTGTCAGGCAGAAAATGAGTAAAGAAGAAAAATGTGAGCATGTGGAGAACTGGCCTGGCTGTCACGCTGGCCCCGTGCTGCTCACTTGGGGTGAGCTGGAGGGTTGGCTCAAAGTCACCATGGTGGTGACAACAACCCCACAGCCACAGTTGTGCCCCTCGGTGCCCTGGCACTGTGGTACTGACAGCTCCAGGCAGGCCAGGATTTGGGTTTGGGATTGCTGCATCCCCCCTAACCTCGGCTGTGCTTCCAGCCTCCTGCAGGGTTGGTTTTCCTCTCCCCTCAGAGCCCCAGGGTCGATGTCCAGCGCTGGCTGGGAGCGGGATCATGTGGAGCCTCACTCCAATGGCACATACAGCCATGAATTTTGCTCTGCAGTGGAACATAGTTCACCTCCAGAGAGGGAATTTGCCCAAGAAGGCTTAGGCTGAGCATCTGTTTTGCTGTAAGCCTCCAGCCTTTTTTTTTTTTAATTCTTTTTTCCTTTCTTCCCCCTTTTTTTTTTGTCTTTTTGTCTTTTTTCTTTTTATACCTTTTATCTTTTCCTTTCTTCTTTTCTCTTATTCTTTTTCTTCCTCTTTCTCTGTGTTTTTCTTACTCTTTTTTATTTTCTTTTTCTTCTTTTCCTTTCCTCCCTTTTTCTTCTTTTTCCCTTTTTTCTTCCTCTTTCCCCCCCCCTTTTTTTTTTCTCTCTTCCTTTTCAAATCCTCCCTTACCAACTGACATTTTCCACCACCAAGAAAAAAAAACCCAGCGACTTGCTTTGACTCCCAGAACCTCCCATCATCCTCCCCAGCCCAACCCTCTGCAAACCTCCCATCCCTGACATTAAGGACCCAATCCCCCCCTTCTAAAATAAAGGAGGAAAAACCAAGGGGAGAGAGGCTGGAGCTGGCGGCTGAGCCGGATTTCCATGTGAGGGGATGAGGTTGGGGCGGCCACGGGCTTCCCCTGGCAAGCGACAGAGGAACCGGGGCCAGCAGAAACGTTGAGTCATGAGTGCGGTTCGCAGGCGGTGGATTTTTTCCCAAGGAAAATTCCTCACTGGGGAGGAGCAGAGCTGGGAGGGGGGGACAGCAGTGAAGGACTGTGGCCCCTAAACGAGCCGCTGATCTGGGGATGGGGATGCGCCCCATTGCGATGGGAATTCCCTGGGCAGGTTCCAACCCCCGGGGAGGGCGGTTTGGGGAAGGGGGGGTCCTGCCTTGGGAATTCCCCAGCAGCTGGATGGGAGGAGCAGCGTGATCTGGGTGGGGGCTGCAGGAGATGAGGACCCCATCCTTCCCCCTCCTCCTCCTCCTCCTCCTTCCCCACATCCGCCCACCCCCACGCAATGGGCGGCGCAGCCCCAGCTCCATTTATCATCATCTGCGGGCAAGTGAAGTGTGCAGGGAACAGCTGCTCCGGTCGGCTGAGCGCCGAAATGGGGCGGGACGCGGGGCTGGGGGGGCTGCGGGCTGCCCTGGGGTACCAAACCCCCCCAGGCGCTGCACTGGGACGGAGCACTGGCGTGCTGGGAGATGCTGGTGGTGATGGGAGGGATTGGGGAGGTGTATTAAAGGGGTTCACTGGGGAGGGGGACCATTATTGGGGTGCATTAAAGGGGTTTATTTGGGACAGCGCATTAAGGGGTGCACTGGGGAGAGGGTGCATTAAAGGGGTTCACAGAAGGGGACATTGAAGGGGGGGCTGCTCTGGCAGTGGGGTGTCTGTGGGGACAAACAGCAGCAGCTCCACAACTGCGTGCAGGGTTTGCTCCCACCCCCGGCGAGCCCCAGGGGTCCCTCTGCACTGCTGGGGGGGCTCAGTCTGGGTTCCATCCCCCCAGTTCCTCTCATTCCCAGCTCCTGAGGCAGGACGCCCTTTCCTGCTCTGTCCCACACACCCCGGCTCCCCCCCGCAGCCTCCCCTTTTCTCTCCTCCCTTAATAATCAAATTCTCCGGAGCACTTTGCGGTGTGGCAGCCAGCCAGAAAGGGTTTCTTTAAACTCCACCAGCTCACAATTAAACAAATCCGGGGCTGACGCTACTCGATAGGCGCTTATTCCCCTCCCTGAGAGCTGCCGGGGGATCCGGGGGGGTCCAAGCCCTTCGTTCCCAGCTCCGGTAGCACCTCACCGGATGGGGCTGCACCCCTGGGTGTGGGACCCGGCTTCGGAGCGGGTTTGGGTGGGGAACGGGGTGTCCGCGGTGCCAGCGCTGCTCCGATGGAGGAGCATCCCCCTGCGAGAGCACGCTGCTATTTTTAGTCGCTGAGTCCTTGTTGATGGCACAGCAGCGAAGGCGAGGGAGCAGCCGGAGGAGCAGCAGGGCTGGATCAGGCCCCGCGGGATGAGGCAGCAGCTGGGAAGCAAGGCCGGCGTGCAGGGAACCGGGGAACGCCCTTTGCCCCCTGGGGCTGAGGCTTTGGGGGTCTCGGGTGCTTACCGAGGGTCCCTGCCACGGGAAGTCCTGGGCTGCCTTCAGAGGGCTCCGGATCCGGCCATGCCATGTCCCTGCCAGGCAAGGGGAAGGGGGAGGAAAGGGGAGAAGGCAGGGGAGGAAGGAAGGAGGGAGGAGTAGTGGGGAGGAAAATAACACGGAATCCAGCCACGCAGCACAAATCCTCCCGAGCAGCAGGCGGGCTGCAGGCCACTGTGTGTGCTGGCCTGGCAATGCCATGCATCAACCCCTGTGCCATGCATCAGCTCCCGTGCCATGCATCAACCCCTGTGCCATGCATCAACCCCCGTGCCATGCATCAACCCCTGTGCCATGCATCAACCCCCGTGCCATGCATCAGCCCCCGTGCCATGCATCAGCCCCCGTGCCATGCATCAGCCCCTGTGCCATGCATCAGCTCCCGTGCCATGCATCAGCCCCCGTGCCATGCATCAGCCCCAGCACCGTGGCAGCATGACCCTGTGCACCATCACGGCCCCAGGCTGTGCCCTGGCGCTGGGAGGTGCATCAGGTCCTTGTGTGTCCCCCATGAGTGAGATGGGGGCTGTGCTGGGGTGTCCGTGCTCCCTTGGCACCAAGGGGATGGATGCTCTGTGGTGGCTGTAGCCAGCAGTGAGCACAGCACAGGGACAGGGTGGTGCTGGTGCTGGTCACCGTGGTGGCCCCAGGTGCCTGCCCTCTCCCTTCCATGAGCCCTGGCCACAGCACGGCTTTGCCAAGGGCAGGTGTCCAGCCACAGCCATGCACCGACAGCCCTGTATCGATTCCCATCTCAGAGGCAGTGGCTGGAAGCTTCTTCAGGGTCAGGAGAGCACATCCAGCAGGGACAGTGAGTGGGCAGGGCCCCTGGGACCAGCCACAGCCACCTCCCTCTCCGGGGGAAGGCCGTAACCTCCCTGCTGTCGACAGCTTGATTTGATGCCATTAAAGCGTTTGCTCGCAAACAGCCTGCATCAGGCACAACATCTGGCACGGCCCTTCCCCGGCAACGCTGTGGCAGATCCGAGGGCAGAGCTGGCCTCTGGCTCTGCCAACAGCTCCGGGTGCTGCTGGTGATGAGCGTGTCCCCTCCCAGGGGCCCACAGGGACATGGGACCGTGGCTCTGGGCTTGTAGGATTTCAGCTGGAACACGTTCCCTCTGTGCATCCCCACCTCTGCGTGCCGGTGACTGATCCGTCCCCTCGCACCGTGCGCTTTTGCTCATCCCGACATTGTCCCATCTGTTTGGAAAATTAACAATAATTAATTAATAACAATAATTAATTAATCACGATAATTAATAATAAAGGAGAAAGGGGAGAAAAGCTCCCCCTAAAGCTTCAGCCTAGGGTCTTCTCAAGCCAGTTTCATTTTTCAAACCCACTCCCACACAGCATGAAGGGCCCTTTGCTCCCATTAATTCTCCCACCACAGCCCAGGGCTGCCCCACAGCCTGCCTTTGATTTTCCTGCCTTTGTTCCAGCAGCACCGGCACAGGGCTGGCACAGGACACCATGCTGTGGCAGGGGCTTTTTGTGCCAGCTTTTCAGATTTTTTTGACCCATCTTTTCCCTGGAATTTAGGCTTTAGCTGCATCCAGTTGTCCACAGAGCCTGCAAGAGGCAACTGCAATATGTGACATGGAAAACATCCCAAAAGGGGATGGGGAACAGGGAGGGATGGGGTGCTGGGCTGGTGTGGGTGGCACCGAGCCTAGCTCCAGTGGTGCCCGAGGACACTGTGTGCTTGGTGCATGCCTGAGCAGCTGGTGTTTATGGAAACAGAGCTAAGTAAAGCCCTGTGTGTGTGTGTAGACCCCAAAAAGGTGCTGAGGTGTTACTGGTGGGTGCTGCAAGGAAGAGGGCTGAGCTGGGACTCATCAAACCAGCAGTGTAGTTTAAGTGGCTGTGGCAGAACTGCCAGCAAAGGGACCATGTGGTGTTTGCCATGTTGTGGCAGTGGCATGAGGGTGATGGAGAGACATGTGGGGACACACAGAAATCCATGTCCCAGCTCAAGGCTTCCTGGTTCCACAGGGAAGTGTGCCAGGAGCTGGGATGGGCTTGGACAGACGCTGCCAGCGTCAGACCCCATCCTCTCCTCTTGTTATACTCATTGCCTTGAGGGAGGCCGAGGGGACAGCACTGGGGATGTCCCTGGACAGCAACAGACCCTTGGGGCTGCCCTAACCCAGACTGACAAATCTCTGTCTCATCCAGGCTTGTGTCCACCCCAGGACCTTCAACCCACTGGTGCTGGGGACAGGCAGGATGCATCCCCCTGCCACCAAGCCCTTCATTAGCCCCCACAAGCCACTTGACTGCCTTAAGAGATCAAACCAGTGACCCAGGTGTGTCCCTGCCCCCAGAGCAAGAGGGGTGAGGAAATGGGGAGCTTTAATGACGACGGTGCCGAGGCACTCGGTAATGACGGCTGCTGGCGGGAGCAGACAGCTTCCAGATGGCATCGCGCCGGGGCAGGGGGATCGCTGGGGCCGGGGGGGCTGCGGGAGGCAGCAGCCGGCAGAGATGGGCAGAGCCAGCCAGTTGAAATGACTTTTTTTGCAGCAGAGCCTGCGGTTCTGGCCCTCCGCGCTGCTGCTTCCAGTAATTAGCCCAATAATTAAAAAGAATGGCGATAAGAGGGGTGTGCAGAGGCGCTGGCAGGATCCCGGCATCCCTGGGGAGGCGCGTGAGAAGGGCGGGAGTGATTTGCGGATGTGAGGGGTGGTGGGTGTGTGAAACACGAAGCAGAGGGACCCCGACATGGTGTGGGGGGTCACTGCACCAGGTGACCAGGCAGGGATGGGTGGGCAGCAGGGATGGGCAGCTTCAGCAGCAGCAGGGGCAGGAGGGTGGCTGAGCCCACTGCAGGCGGGGAGGAGGCAACCAGACCCCAGCACCCTCCTGCCCATGGGCACAGTGCTGCGATGCAGGGAGATGGGATAGAGGAGGATGCAGGATGCTGCAAGATGGAGATGCAGCGCCAGGCAATGCGATGCAGGGCGACACGGCACGATGACACAGAGCCAGCTGCTGCCCTCCGGGGCGGTGCAGCGCACAGGGATGGGATGCAGGGCAATGGGATGCTGTGCAGGGCAATGAGATGCAGGGCAATGCAAGCCGATGCAATGCAGGGCAGCACGATGCAGGGAGATAAAATGCAAGGTGATGTGGTGCAGGGTGATGTGAGGTGAGGCAGGAGGAGGCGATGCAGGGCAATGCAAGGCAACACAGTGGTGCAGGGAGTCGAAATGGAAAGTGATGCGATGCAGGATGAGGCAAAGCAATGTGATGCAGGGCGATGCAAATCAGGGTGATGAAATGCAAGGCAACACGAAGCAAGGGTAGGTAGTGGGAGGCGATGCAATGCAGGGCAAATTGGGGCAATGCAATTCAGGGTGAATGCAAGGCAACAAGATGCAGAGGTGGAACACCAGGTGAAGTGTTGGAGAGCAATGCAAGGCCATGCAGGCAATTCAGTGCACCATGGGGTGATGCCAGACAATGCAGGGCAATGCGAGGTGATGCAGCATCACGTGCTGTGTTCCAGGGCGGCTGTGAGATGATGCCCAGTGGGGCAGTGCCCAGCAGCTGAGGTGAGGCGAGGCAATGATGTCCCCATGGTGCAGGTGACACCGGCCTTCTCGGCCTTCTCGGTCCCCGGCCCACCGCGGTGGCGACGCTTCATTTGAATTCTCGCCTCTCTCTCTTCGCAGATAACAAGCCCGCGCCATGCAGTCCTTTCGAGAAAGGTGTGGTTTCCATGGCAACCAGCAGAGCTACCAGCCGACTTCACAAGATACATCACGCCTGGAGAATTACAGGCATCAAAGTCAGGCAGGGCCGAACTGCGAGCGGCAGAGGCTGGTGGCGAAGGAGTACTACAGTCAGCAGCAGCTGCCGTACGCGGGCTATGAGAACAGCGCCGTGGAGAAATACCACCGGGGAAACAAGCAATTAGCGGGGCAGCAGCTGCAGGGCAGGCCAGCCTTTTCCAATTACACCGTGCAGGAGAACAGCCCTTATCCGGCCCGGTATTCCGGGGACGAGAGCCTGCAGGCGTGGGGTGGCCAGCCACAGGCACTGCCCGGCGGCGTGGCCAAGTATGAGGACAACCTGATGAAGAAGACAGTGGCATTGGCGGGTGGGCGGCCATACCATGAGCCAGCGGCCACCTCGCTGCCCTTCCGGACTCATTTCCAGCAGCAGCCTCAGCAGCAGCAGGCGCAGCCACAGCAGCAGCAGCAGCAGCAGCAGCCGCCCGCACTCCCCTACCCCAAGCTGCAGCGACAGAAACTGCCCAACGATGTCTCCTCACCCATGCCCTTCTCACAGAGCCCTCATTTCGGGCAGCACTCCCAGTCCTTCCCTGCTTCCTCCACCTACTCCTCGGTGCCGGGAGGCAGCCAG